TCTGTCGTTGAAGGGGTGTCTGTCGTTGAAGGGGTGTCTGTCGTTGAAGGGGTGTCTGTCGTTGAAGGGGTGTCTGTCGTTGAAGGGGTGTCTGTTGAAGGCGTTGTCGTTTGACGTTGGGTTCGAGCCAGTCCTGTCGAATGTTGAGCGCGATGAGATAGATGTATCGTGCCAAAAAGGCGCAAGAGAGACCAAGAAAAGAACAGGCCCAACAATTTTCAAGATGCCAAAATCAAAGGACGGGTGAAGAGGTACAGTACGACATCGATTCACTCACCGTTACAAACCTACACATTAAACAAAGCAACGTCCCACCACCCCATCCATATACCCAATCTCACCTCTAAATCCAACCACCCTTCTTCCCTTCTGCGTCTTACATCATCGCCGTCGCTTTGAAAAAAAGAAGAAGAGGGGGGCGGAGCTCGGCTCAGCGAAACAACACGAGGCGGGGGGGCGTAACCATGCCTCGTCCTTCTCGCGCGATGCTATTGGCAATAGGAACAGCGTGTCCGTCAGAGGCGAAGGAAAGCATTCGCCATGAGAGAGAAACAGGTTGAAAGCGAAAAGCAAGGCAGGAGGAGACGCCTTTTCGCGCGGGCGCGCGCCCGCCCACGGGAAAGGCATACGTCTTAGGCCCGCGGCTCATTGCATTAGAGTGAATTCTATCTTCATTGTCGTTTGGGTCGGCTGAGTAGGGTGAAGCGGAGGACGGCGAAGCACAGCGCAGGATGGCATCACCGCCCTTCTGCAAATCGATAGAACAAGTCATTCTACGTGTGACGATGCTTTTTCTCTCCTGTGATCTCTCAGCTTCTGATTCTCCTCCTTGTAATTACTTCGTTCTACTACATAGCGATTCTGTCCTTGCGCCCTTCCTCAAGCGGATACAGCTCGTCGATTCGAAACCACACTACGATCTGCATGTGCGGTTAGGTAGGCTCGGTTGATCACCGTCATCCCTGCAAACCCTTGGCAACGGGCCCGATATGGCTTACAATGACAAACGAACATCGCCCACTTGCAATTAATGCACCTCTGTTTGTTCGAAAGAGGCACGACCCATTCGGTACCAAAGCATGCCAGGCGTCCCACTTCTTCTCGTCTTCCTGCTCCTCCCGTCCGGTACGGTCGCTCCCGAATATCGGCTCCAAAGGGGCTTCCCTGCATCTGGCCCGGGCTAGGGACGGGAGATCGTCCCGGGGTGGCTATTTCTCGCGAATTGCCTTGTGTCATGGAGTGATACAGGCATCATCGTGGCTTCGTGGAGATGTGACATTTCTACCGTCTCTGGCTGATTCGCCATGGTGTGTCCCGGGCTGCATCCTTTAGTCGGCCCCACGGGTGTGGGCGTGGGTGTACCGTGAGATGCTCGCAATCGGGCTGGTCATGAACAGGGCGTTGGCTGTTTCTTTGTTTGTTGCTTGCGTCACCGTGAGATGTCGTGCCTCTCGGCGTACTGGAGACCCCGTAGATAGTCTGTGCCCACCTACTGTTACTACAACACCAAAATACTTATTTTTCCAAGTTATTTAACGTTCTATTTAACGTTAAAGGTACAATAGAAACGTATAAGATAGTTTAACATTGGTTTCAATAGCAGGAAGGTCGGTTTGGGTCAGTTATGAGTGATACTGTCATGGTGGGTGGGCATAGACTATCTACGGGGTCTCCAGTACGCCGAGAGCGTGCGTTGTATGCGTATGCAGTGCTGCACGATTCTCTCGTCTAGGGGAGTGGATTTGTTAAGCGAGATTTGTGCTGGCAGGCTCCGGGGTCCTGCTGAGGTAGTGTCGACATGGCGTATCTTGCAATGAGGGGAAATTGCTGTGTATTGAAATATATTGCTCAGGCATCGGCCGGTGGTACGCCGGTGGCATAATGGCGGTGAATTGACAGGCCATTTGGGATGGAGACGGAGACGGAGACGGAGACGTGCAGCACTTGCACCTTTACCGCATTTCGTTTCACAAGGGCGGCAATTTAGTTGCCTCTTTTGCTGTCATGACTCCTAGAGTTTAGGAGCAGGATCAATGAGGTAAAGGCTGAATATGACTTGTGGCATTTGATCTATGCAACAGTTGTGCACCCACACTGTGTCGATAACTATCTCATGCTTTACTCAGTAGTGCTTTGATATTCTTCTATGGCTTGTAGATACAAAATTGCAACGTGTGATGGCTTCAACGACTAAAACTTTGATTCAATACTAACTATCGAGATGTAAAAAATTCAAGACGTAGATTCAAGACGTAGATTCAAGACGTAGATTCAAGACGTAGATTCAAGACGTAGATTCAAGACGTAGATTCAAGACGTAGATTC